TCTTCCAGAGATAATTTATGTATATGTTATATATGCATATATGTAGAGAGATATATTGTGGGTATGTGTGTATATACACATATCTCTTTATTTAAAATATTCTCAGAGTCTCGTTTCTTTGTAAAATTTCATTTTGAGGAAGTCCAATTTTTTCTTGGCAAAGCTCGAAAGAATAGTATTTTTTTCAAACCCATGTTAAATATTTATTTTACTGCCTCTAGTAGTCAGAATTAGATCAGCTATGAACGACTGAAAAATCCATAACAGCAATGGCTAAGACAAGATAGATTATCTTGTCTCACATTCGGAGTCTGGAGGCCAGCAATCCATGGCTGATACAGCAACTCGGCCGAGGAGGCCCATAGGGACCAGGCTCAGTCATCTGTGGCCCTCCTGAGGCTATGCCTCTCAGCCCCAAGGCCCAAGATGGCAGCATCAGGATTCCAGACAGCAGGACAGAGGAGACAAAGGAAAGAGAACCTGCTGGCTCTCGAGTAAGGTTCCAGGAGGCTGGCACCTGGCACTTCTGCGTGTATGCCATGGACCAGAAGCGAATCCCAAGGCCACATCTGTCAGCAAGGAAGGCTGGGGAAGGTGATCTCTACTCTGAGTGGCCCTGTTTGTCCAGCTACAAATTTTACTATTCCGGGAAAAGGAGAGACTGGATATTGGATTGTGAGTAGCGGTTTCTGTTCTATCTCCATTGCCCAGTTGGTCAGAGTAGAGACACATTTCTTCATTTATTCAACCAATTGTTATCGAATAAATGTTGAATTAAAGGGAGATGGCAGAAGGAGGAACTTGTGTAGAGATAATAGAGGACCCAGATGTGCTTCAAAAATTCATAAGAGACCAGCTAAGACCACCAGCCTCCAGCCCTAGAGAGAACTGTTATCACATTGCCTGTTTACTCTCATATCTATATCAGAAGGCCCTCACCCAGGACTCAGTCTTTCCATCTGAGCAATGGGGCCAGAGACATGAGTTTGAACCACATGATTTCCAGCCCTTCCATCTCAAAATCTCAATAAGTGTGTGCTTCTAAATGAATCGTAGTCAAGGGACCAAGCAATCATTAGGAAGCCTGAAAGTCACGGGCGAGAGATCAAAGACACCAAGGGCCCCTTGGAGCTGGCCTTCCCTGTGGTGACCCTCATCCCTCAAAAAGCCATTGGAAGCCCCCAGACACATTATTCTGCTGAGACAAAGAGTTAGGTCTCAGTGAACATAAGCATCCACCCAAAGGCTAGGCAGAAAGTAAAATTCAGCAGACTATCTGTCAACAGAAGTTTCCAAAGGGGAACTATTAAAAACGGTAACTTGCGGGTTCCTAAGTTCCAAACTATGGAGGAAGGAGTGTGGCTTCTGCAAAGAGAAGCCTGCCTGCCTGATCCGTGAGGCTTCTTCGCGGAAGAATGATGTCTGAATGAGAATAAGCCAAAAGATGTTATTCTTTAGTCTTCAAATGGCTTTGGAGACATTCCCCAGGAAATCCACTAAAAACATAGCATTTTTCAAGAAGTCTTGGGACATTTCCTCATGATTAACACACTGGCTTAGGGAAAGAAAAGCCAAAAGTAGGGGAAAATAGACTCTTCTCTGAATAGAAGACAGTAGCATTACCTAATTCTCTAGGGACTAGAATTAACGGGTTTTAATTAATATTTGGTAGTTATTAGGGAGAATTTCTTGTGAGAAAGGAGTTAGGCCCATCAGAATTCAGTCAGGCTCTGGAGGAGCTGCCAGGCTACTTGGAGGTCTGAAGTGAATCAGGTGAGCTTCCATGGGGAAAAAAGGACTTCAGGCTATGGGCTTGGAGGAGTAGAAGACACAGTTCAGGAGCCACGTGGACATTAAGGTTGCTCAGCAGCTCCCCAGAAGCTGAACCTATGCTTTATCAAGGGACTTTCAAAATAGGGAATATGCCTATGGGATGTTTGGCTAATCACAGCCGTTGGTGTGTGGACGCAGTCACAGCAGTACTGAAATGTAGAGACAGGGAGGCAGCTAAACTCTGCGGTCTGGTCCGTGGTTCAAAAGCATCTTTCGGTCCCAGGCCAGCCAGCAGCTGCTTCTCCTTCTGCCAGGACACTAGGGTTTCTATCCAACTTCCCCAGCAATGCTGAGCCTGGCGAGGGTTTTAATTTTCTATCTTGATGAAAAATGTGTGGTTTATACACTGTCGTAGAACAAATAGAATTGGGATTTATGTTTCACAACTTCCATGGTTTGTTTGGGTTTCTTCCATATGTCTTTGACAGTCCTATCACATTTCTGACAGTTACGATTTTTTTTTTCTTTCTGGGAAGTTGGGGAGAGGCAGAGAACATGTTTTTCCCTTTTTCCCACTAAGTCTTGCTTGAAAGTATGTGTGAGCATCATATGGGCCCATGCGTGTGCCTCTCTTGTTGAGAGAATACGTGCATGTGTGTGTACAGGCTGTGGGGTTACATGTTTGTGTAGAGGGCACTGGGCTACAGTGTGCAGACATGGACGTGTTAAATATAGTGCTATGTATTGGATACATGTCTGTGATGTGATGGTGGTGGTGTTTGTGTGTGTGTGTGTGTGTATGTGTGTGTCTACAATAGAAAAATCAGCCAATTAGATGTTATTCTAATTCAGATGTCATCAATGACCGAGTCTTTCTGCTCACAATGTCATGCACGCATGTGTGCAGGGCCTGCCAGCCATTGGGAAGGGTCAACTTGTTCTCCATGCCCCAAATTCCATGTGTTTTCAATTAATTTGATATGTGTGTTTCCATGTGTGCTGCTTTATTTATGTAGGTGAAGAAAATGTCTCACTCCCAATTATTCATCGAGGCCCATCCCTTCACTCTGTGCGGCAGAGTCCTCCTCACCAAGTGCCGTTAAACACGACATCAATCCCAATAGATTGACTAATTCCTTTTTCATTATTAGAAGAGATTTACAACGTTGGAGTCAGAGTGTTGGGTGGTTTTTTTTTTTTTTTTTCCCACTAGAAAATTCATCTGTATCCTAGAATCAGCTTGTAGCTCAATGTAAATTCAGTGTAGAATTTAGTCAGTTATTAAGTGGATTTAAGTGGCTGAACCCTGGTGTAATCTGACCAGCAATGCATGAAGGAAAGAGTTGGAGGTGTAAAAAATGTCAAATAGCTTTCTCAGATGCATTAAACTATTAATAAAGATAAAACGATCTTTATGTTTGGGGTTTAGAACATCTCTTTTATGATAGCAAGAAGCCACTTTGATTCACGACTCGTTGGTTTCAAGGTTTGGTGTCATTATTCAGAAGGTGTCAGGAAGGAAAGGGAGACAAGCTCCTCAGCAGGGAGAGAGGTGAAAAAAGAAGCTCGGAGCGCAGGACTGCTCTTGCCCAGCTGGGTTGGGCAGGGAGATGTGACAGTGAGGGGACGAATACAAAAGGCAGTGATGATCACGTCCACACCATCAGAGCCCTCTGTAGACGCATCTCCGCTTGGTCCTGAGATATGTTTTCCATGGTTCTTCTGAAGAGGTCATGGCCTCCCTCTGAGGGGCTGGTGTGCTGGGTATTTTCCATCTGCCCCCAACCCCACCAGCTCCAGGACTTTCCTCAGCCCTGCTCTGCAGCTCAGGAGGCTGATCTCTGCGGACCACCTCACCCCGACTCCCTGGCCCTCTAGCTTCTGGTGGGATGGATCCAGCCAATGGGAGACAGCAGAAGACTGGAGAGAGGAGAGTGAGAGGTCGGAGGATTTATCCCCACTCCCTCCTTGCCTCACCCCAGTTCAGACAGTGGCTGCCTTCAGGAGTTACATCCTCTTGCAGCCCCTCTTCCACGGCTCCCGGTCTTCCTCCAGGTTCTGGTGACAGCATTCCATCCCCTTGTCCTTCAGGCCTCAGGGTGGTTGTGGCTCCCCGCTGGGGCTGCACCCTCCCACGGTGGGTTCCTGGACCCTGCCAGCTTGCACCACTGTATGCTGTCTCATCGTTAAACTCTCCTCCCTTAAACTCTCTGAGTGGGCCGACCGTTTTCTCCTGGGAGGCACTGACTCAGAGGAGCCCGATCCTCCCAGAGCTGTGTGCCTATTGTGGATGGAAGCAGGAGCTGGGGCATCGTGCAAATGCTCCATGAGAAATGCTGATGCATGGCTGCCCATGCAGCCGAGGTGTCTGCAGCACTATGTTGCACGTGCCTCCTCTATTCCTTTAAGAAGCCTTGGTTGGCCAGCTTCCAGGGGCCGGTTTCCATGCTAGGCAGGCCCTGCCCTCATGGAGTTTACAGTCAGGGGTTAGGTGCTATTGTGGGAGGCACAGAGCTCTGAGCAGCAGAGGAGGAGAGGTGCTGGGTGGAGGGGCCAAGAGGAAGAAACAACCAAACTGAGAATCTGGAGGACAGGAAAGAGATGTCTGAGAAAAGGAGTTTGGGGAGCGACGCAGGGACGGTGGTGTTTCTGGCAGAGGAAACAGCATGTACAAACCCCTAGAGGTGAGCGAGATCAGGAGTAGGGGGCATGGGCATTTGATAGCTGTCTCCCCTTCCCCAGAGACCAGGGACCTGAAGTGCATTCACAGAGGAGGGGTCGGGGAGAGAAAACTGTGAAGGGGGCACTGGGGGACTGCAGCCCTCCCTGCCCCACCCCAAGCCCCACTAAGGGGTTCTGTCTTTATCTTCAGGGCCAGAGGGCCTTTGGACGCAGCCAGATTTACATTTGTAAAAGAGCCCTTGGTCCACAGCATGGGGAATAGAAATTCGGCAGGAGGCAGGTGACTTCTTCAGAGGAACTAAGATATGATGAGCTTGCTAGCGGAATGGGGGAAGTGAACCTATACGAGCAAATCTGAACCCCCATTTTCTGGACAGGGACACAAGACCCAGAGAGGGCCAGATCTTGCTCAGGTCACACAGAGAGGCAGCAAGGGAGAGGAGAAAGGAAACAGCCAGGGGCTGGAGCCACCTCGCCCTGGAAGGAAGACCGCTTCAGAAGGGATTCAGGGGGCAGGCCCTGACCACCCACCTGTTTCCTTGCAGGGCTGGGGGAGCCTTTGGATCCACTGGACCCCACCCTGGCAGGACCTGAACCCTCACCTGGACGCACCCCAGGCACCTCCACCGGCATAGGTGACAGGAGCTTCCCACTGAAATCATGCGGATATTAAGCTAATCAAAGCCTTGCTTGGGAAGGGATGGGACTGGGAAGGCGGCCCTAACGAGCTGCTGCGTGTCACTCCCTCCACCCTGCGCGTCCTGCGCTGTCCCATTTGTCTGGCTGTAATCTACATTTCAAATGATTACATGGGAAGCTGAAGTGGTAGTGACAAGGATAAACGAAGCTTGTTAAACTAATAGCTGCACTAATGCCCAAATATGTGAACTTCCCGGCGCAGGCCGCATCCCAGCCTGGCGGAGCTGTCAGCCCCGCTCCCCCGGGCTCCGCCGCCAGCCGCGGCCACATGATGAATGGCCCTGTCGACCAAACTCATCCGGGGCCCAATTAAACAGGCAGAAATGAACTGGAGCCGTCAGGCAGCCGGGGAGGGGGGACGCGGGGAGGGGGAGGCTGAGCCAGACACAGAGAGCCTAGTAGGGGGGAGGGGAGAGCAGGGAGAGAGAGAGAGAGAGCGAGCGGGCCTAGGAGATGGGAGAGAGAGAGCAGCCTGGGAGAAGAGAGAGTCAGAGGCCCAGGAAAGAGAGAAGAGACACCAGGGTGGGAGCAGGAGGAGAGAGACAGAGACACACAGAGATAGCCTGAGACAGAGAGACCGAGAGACTGGGAGGGCAGAAGGAAGAGACTCCCAGATATACAGACACAGGGAGTGGGGAGAGACAGTCAGAGACACACACACAGACAGAGGCAGAAGCACACACAGAGACGGAGTGAGGAGAGAGAGGCGGAGAGAGGCGCGCAGGAGCGGGGGCAGAGTCGTTGCCTCTGGAGGGGGCGGTCCAGGAAGGGCCAGAGGCGAGGCGGGGAGTGGACGAGAAAAGAGGGCGAGCAGAGAAAATGTGTCCCGGCAAGTCCTGGCAGCTCGCAGCGGCAGGGAAGTCGTTCTGTCAGAAAATGGTCATTTAATGGTTTGCCGAGCCCGCGACAGATATGTCATCTGAGGCGGCTCGGCGGCAGTCCCAGGGCATTTCATTTATTAATTACCAGCTTCCAGCAGCTCCCTCGTCCCTGCTCCATGCCGTCACCAGCCCGGCCCCCCACTCCCTCTGCCAGCAACACCCCCATTACCCCATTCCTGCTGGTGCCTCCTCTCGTCCCATTTTCCGGAGGAGGCGGCCCAAGGCCAAGGTCACAGAGCGTCAGGCCCGCCAGCTGTGGGTCAGCCTCCCTCCCCGGGGGGCCTCCTGGGCTGGGCCTCCTAGACTAGGGTGGGGAACCCAGTCCCTCCCCTGCCCCAAGCCTAAAGGGAAGCGGGAGGCTGACCTACGTGCTCTCCTTTTCTCCTTTCGTAGAGACAGGGAGATCTTGTGTTGCTCGAGTTGACTTCGAACTCCCCATACTCATGCAATCCTCCTGCCTCAGCCTCCGGAACTGCTGGGATTACAGGCGTGGGCATACCTGGTCCACATTACACTTTCTCATTCATAAATAAAATAATGTTTTGCTTGCCTGATAATTTTATATCTATTTCTTTTAGTGTAAACTCACTTTTACAGCCTTCAGATCTGTTCTTTTCCCCCTCTTGGCAGCCCTTTAAAAGGCCTTAACTCTGATTTCCTTTCATTCAGACCCAAGGAGCTTGTCTCTGTTTCCAAGCAGAGGTAAGTGCTAATATTCTCTCACGTGGCCCTTTGCCCATGAGAAATGTTCCACCAGGAATGTTTAGTAAACTAGGAATGGACGCTCACAGACCGTGCTGCTGGCGAGCCTGCCCACTGGGCAGCCTGCACAAGGGAAGCTAGCACCTCAGCCACCCTCCCTTTCCAGCCTCCAACCCCCACCCTCCAAGCTGTCCTGGAGCTGCCTCAGAGGAAGGGAACTGACAGCGTATCTCTCTGTCCCCAGAGAGTCAGGGACGACTCTGGGCTGCCTAGGTCCCCAATTGGCAACACTCCTCAGGCCTTACTGCCCCCCAGGACCCCATGATCCAGATCCTTCCCAGAGGAAGATCCAGAATGGAAGTGAAATCCTTGTTTTTTGTTTGTTTTTGTTCCTTCCTCCCTCCCTCTCTCCTTCTCTTTCTTTCTCCCTTCCTCCTCCTCCTCCTTCTTCTTCCTCTTCTTCTTCTTCTCTTCTTTCTTTCTTTTTTCTTCTTCCTTTCTTCTTCTTCTTCTTTCTTTCTTTCTTTTCTTTCTTCTTCCTTCCTTCCCTTCTCCTTCCCTCCCTCCCTCCCTGCCTCTCTCTTTCTTTTTTCTTTCTTTCTTCTTTCTTTTCTTTCTCTCTCTTTCTCTTTCTTTCTCTCTCTCTTTCTCCTTTCTTTCTTTCTCTTTCTTTCTTTCCTTTCTTTCTCTTTTTCTCCTCTTTTCTTTCTTTCTTTCTTTTTTGAGAAGATTTTACTCTGTCTCCACCAAGGCTGGAGCGCAGGGGCATGATTTTGGCTCACTGCAGCCTTGACTTGCTGAGCTCAAGCAATCCTCCAGCCTCAGCCTCCCCACCCCTGACTAGCTGAGTAGGCGGCACACGCCACCACACCTGGCCAATTTTTTTTTTTTTTTTTAAATAGAGTTGAGGTTTCACCATGTTGCCCAGGCTGGTCTTCAAATTCTTGGGCTCGAGTGACCCACCTGCCTCAGCCTCCCAAAATGCTCATGAAATCCCTGTTTTAAACAGGATGCCTGCTCAGAAATGGTGGCACCAACTAGAGTGGGGCAAACTCTTTCTTTCAGAGGCCCAGGGCCGGTAAGACATTGCTGAGGCCTCTGCTGGGGCTGGCATGAATCTGGAAGGTAGGTCTGAACCTCCCACCTCTACTACCTGAAACCTCCAGGAGGCTCCCTGCACGTCCCGTGTTCCCAGGTGCCCAAGCGAACATAGCTCCTTCCCAGAGCCTCCCTGGGCTCCCCATCCCAGCCAGCAGCACTGGCAGCCCCACCCTCCAACTTGAGCATATCCTGTATCTAATGTGTCACTAAATGCGGCACAGCCACCTTTCAGCCTTCCCACCTGTCCATCCCCCATCAACTCCCCAGCACAGACATCTCTCACCTCCCTGAGGCTTACAGTTCTCCTCCACACCTCACCTGGGTGACCTTCCAAGGGGCAAAGCTTCTCCCCTGACTCCCTTCAGAGGCACAGAATTCAGGCTCCTTTTCAGCCTTTGAGATCTTTCCTATTTTTTTCCTGCTCCTGCTACTGAGCTTTTAGCTCCCTCTGACTTCTCTCTATCTCTCTCTCCTCTCCTTCACCCCTAACACTGGGGCCTTGGCATACAGTATCCCCTCTGCCTGGGATCCCCTTCTCTGCACTGGGACCTGTAGGGAAATGTAAAGGTTGTAAAGGTAAATTGGACTGTCATGGAGTCCAAGGATGGAAGTGAGCCCAGTGTCACGGGCGGCGGTTTACAACAGCAGCTGGAGAAGCACTCTCCTGGAGTTGGGGAGGAGCCTCTAGCACAGGATGGGAGTCTTGGCTCAGGAACCACTCAGGACCTTCCAGCCCAGGTCTCTGACTCTATGTATCTGCTTCTTAGAAATCATAGCTGCTAATCACCCTTTTTATGGGCTCCTGTCAGTGGGGCCAGGGCCGGGAGCTTCCAGGAACACTGAATTTTAGTTTATTCCTAACCTTAGCACAAATCATGTGCTCCAGCAGTCCTCAGAAGAAAGCTGGTGGGGGCAGAACTCACCTGTTCCCTGTAGGGGCATCCAGGGCTTGTGGGGACAATGAATATCTCTTGCAAAGAGACTTAACTAAGAGAAAGCCAGTACTATAGGAGTGGGTCAAAGTCCATGAGGTCTACCAGCAGACATCACCCTTCTCACAGTAAAGATAGGTCAGCTGAGGTTCAGAGAGAGGAAAGGATTTGCCCAAGATCACAGAGTGAGCCAGAGGCAGGCCCAGAGCCAGAGCCCAGGTCACATGACTTCCCACCAGGGCTCTTCCCACAACTTAGCAGAACCACTGTCCCCTTGATGTCAAAACCCTATGGAGGAGCAATTAGATTCCCATTGAAAACAGAATTCCTCAGCTTTAGTTAATCTTGTCATATTGAGATAAGTGACCATGAGCTTTCAAAAGCTCATTAAAATATATTTTTATATGTTTATTATTATTATTTCTTGAAATGACCTAGGCTTCCAGATTTCTGGGATGAACACTCTGATTTATAAACACTCTCCCATGGATCATTTTCTGTACAGTGGACAGCCTGAGAAAAGGACCATAAGGCTCTTGGGTTATTTTTGTTAGCAATGATTTGCTTTCACTGGCGCTCTGCTCTCCTTCACTGTCTGTGATTTGACTAGCACTGCCAGTCAGTCTTAGGACAAGCCTGGCCACTCATAGTACCTCTTCCCTCTGGCAACAGTGATTGGTCCAAGAGATGGGCATGTGACCCATCAAGACCAATCAGAGTGCTTCCCTGGGACTTATATACACAGAAACTCCCTCTTTCTGCTGCAATGCCAGCCTAGCGCTTTCAACGGCTCTTTTCTTTACCTACATTGAGGAAGCTCAATAGCAATGACAAATAATGAGGTCAATATACAAATGGAAGCAAACCCAAGAAATGGAGAGAGAAAGAGAAACCTGATCACTTGGTTTAGGCCCTGGATTCAGCCATGTCTGAAGCCAGTGCCATCTCCTGGAGGTACCCAGGGCCATGGGTGAATTAATTCTCTTTATTCTATTTTTTAGATTGATTTGGAATTTTTTTTCCCCTTGTACATGAAAGAGCTCCAAAATGAATACAAAGCCTTTCCTTCTGTTCGCCTATTTTACACAATAGTTGGCACATACAAGCCCCCTCCTCTGAGCCACTTTGGGTACAGAGTTCACACACACATTCTTTCATCACTGGGGAAGAAGTCCCCAGTAACAGGCCCCTGTGTCCCTTCCTGCCTCTCCTGTACTGGCTTCTCAAGGTCTTAGTGTTTCTTCTTGTGGCAGAGGAAATTTCTAGACCACTGGAAGTCCTCTTTGGACTCAAGGGCTCTGAGCTGTTTTTGGGTTATGCACAAGACTGTTTCCAGGAGGGATGAAGGAGTCTCTTTCATTCAAGTGCTCTGATCACATCACTCTCCTGTCCAAAAGCCTCCAATTACTCCCTACTACCCATGGGGAAAAGTCCAGACTCCTTAGCCTGGCAGTCTAGACTCTTCACAGTCTGCCCTGGATTCCTCATCCTCTCTTTCCTACCTCTGGGTCTTTGCTTGTGCTGTTCCTCCTCCTTCCTCTGGAACACCCACCTGTGAGAGTTCCTCCTGTCCTTCTAGGCCTGGCCCAAGCCCTACCTCTTATAAGCAACCTTCCTCACTCCCCTCACAATAAGGCAACTTGTTCTGGGCCTCCTAGGACAGGCATGTTATCTGCCCCTCTTTGTGACTTATCATA